AAGAGCAGCAGGCGGTCGGGGCAGGCGTTGAGCAGCAGGGACGGGTCCGGCGCCTCACGGCTCGCCCAGGCTCGCGCCGACAGCGACGTGATGGAACCGCCGGCCTGGACCAGCAACCGCGAGGCCTTGGTCAGCCGGCCTGGGGATCCCAGTATCAACCAGTGCCTCCCAGTATGGACCAGTGATGTCCCAGCGCCGCCCCAGTGCCTCCCAGTGCCGTCCCAGTGCCTCCCAGTATGGGCCAGGGATGTCCCCGTGCCTCCCAGTATGGACCAGTGCGCCCTCGGAGCCGCCCCAGTGTCCTCCCAGTATGGCCCAGTGCCTCCCAGTATGGGCCAGGGATGTCCCCGTGCCTCCCAGTATGGACCAGTGCGCCCTCGGAGCCGCCCCAGTGTCCTCCCAGTATGGCCCAGTGCCTCCCAGTATGGGCCAGGGATGTCCCCGTGCCTCCCAGTATGGACCAGTGCGCCCTCGGAGCCGCCCCAGTGTCCTCCCAGTATGGCCCAGTGCCTCCCAGTATGGACCAGTGCCACCTCGGAGCCGCCCCAGTGTCCTCCCAGTATGGACCAGTGCCTCCCAGTATGGGCCAGGGATGTCCCAGTGCCTCCCAGTATGAACCAGTGATGTCCTAGAGCCGCCCCAGTGCCTCCCAGTATGGACCAGTGCCACCTCGGAGCCACCCCAGTGTCCTCCCAGTATGGACCAGTGCCTCCCAGTATGGATCAGGGATGTCCCAGTGCCTCCCAGTATGGATCAGGGATGTCCCAGTGCCTCCCAGTATGGGCCAGGGATGTCCCAGTGCCTCCCAGTATGAACCAGTGATGTCCTAGAGCCACCCCAGTGCCTCCCAGTATGGACCAGTGCCACCTCGGAGCCGCCCCAGTGTCCTCCCAGTATGGACCAGTGCCTCCCAGTATGGGCCAGGGATGTCCCAGTGCCTCCCAGTATGGATCAGGGATGTCCCAGTGCCTCCCAGTATGGGCCAGGGATGTCCCAGTGCCTCCCAGTATGGATCAGGGATGTCCCAGTGCCTCCCAGTATGAACCAGTGATGTCCTAGAGCCACCCCAGTGCCTCCCAGTATGGACCAGTGCCACCTTGGAGCCACCCCAGTGCATCCCAGTGCTTTCCCAGTGCCTCCCAGTATGGACCAGTGATGTCCCAGAGCCACCCCAGTGCCTCCCAGTATGGACCAGTGATCTCCCAGTGCCTCCCAGTGTGGACCAGTGATCTCCCAGTGCCTCCCAGTGTCACTCAGTGTCTCCCAGTTGCTCTGTACCCACCCCAAATCCCCTCCCAGTGTCCCTAAACCCCCTCCCAGTCTCTCCCAGTTCCTCCCAGTGCCCTCAAATCCCCTCCCAGTGACCCCAAACCCCCTCCCAGTCTCTCCCAATCCCCCCAGATCCCCTCCCAGTCCCTCCCAGTCCCTCCCAGTGCCCCCAGCAGCCCGTACCGGTGGCGGGGTCGCACAGGAACGACGACACCGAGCCGCGATCGTCG